AAACAAGATGTGAATGTAGCAACATTGAAAGTAAAGTTGGAAGAGCAGACCAGCATAAAAGTTAGACAGGCATAAAAGTGAATGCACTGTGTGGCATGCCTACCATTCACATAAAAAGCCATTACTGATAAGTAAAATGCACATGCAGTGGCTTCTCTGGGCTAAAACATGTGAATTTTATGTTTTTAGTTGAATCAAAATTTAACTAGCAGAATTGATGGCAAACTCTATGCCGTCATATTAGAAAAGCCAAGGTTATAACAGAAATTTGCTTAATGCAGACAGTCAAATAGATGGATATGCAATCAAATAGTGTACACTAGGGATGTCGAACCTGCATTGTCCAACCAGTGATGTCCAACCCCATACCTAAAAAAATTAGGGTTAGGGTACAGTGGGCCGCACTGCGGCCCACTGTACCCTAACCCTAATTTTTTTAGGTATATTTTCATTTATTTTGGTAAAATATGTCATAAAACTTATTCTTGTTTCACTGGATACACTTTGATGTCATAATGACGTAATTGGTGTTATAGAAAACTGTTTTATCTAGAGAACTGTTATTCATGTGGGGTAGTACATACTGTTGTAAACAATTGTTTTCATTCATGAAAAACATCAAAACTACTGAAAGAAATAAGTTGAGTAATTCCCATTTAATTAACATTCTTAGAATTAAGACTAGTATCATAAAAGCAGATGTTGACAATATTATAAAAGGAAGGCAATGTGAAAAATCGTATTGAATTTATTTTTATTTTGTGACAATAATTTTTTTTTTTACTGTCAATAATACAAGGGTCATTCTAAAAGAAAAGAATGTTTTGATCTGACAAGCCATGCAGTTCTCCCACCACCCTCTACTGCCGCATCATGAACCTTCCCATGTTTTCATGCCAGTGTGATGCTAACAGCGAGCCACAATGATCGTTTACTATTTACAGTGTGACTTTGAAATGTGTGACAAAAATTAAAGATCAGAATCTTTAATTTTGCGAGGTTCATAGTGTAATACGGTTTTTGAATGCAAAAAAAGTCCATCCTGTCGAAATTTACAGACAGATAACCAAGGTTTATGGTAATGTGATGAATGAAGCTTCAATTTGAAACAAACGGCAGGGATTGTTGTCCAGAGGCATTGTGCTTCTTCAATATAATGCATGACTGCATGTTGCTGCATTGATGAAGAACTTGCTTCAGCAGTTTAAGTGGGAAGTTTTTGAACGTCCTTCTTATAGCCTGGACTAGGTTCTGAGTGATTATATCTTTTCCCAAAATTGAAGGATTTTTTAGCCGGGAATCAGTATGGAAGTGACAATGAACTGAAAGAGGCCGTTAATGACTGGTTCGAGAACTTGGCGGTAATTGAGTGTGCAGAAGGCATAGAAAAGCTGATGACACGCTATGACAAATGTTTAAATTTGTATGGCTACTATGTATAAATATAGCTAAGGTATCATATGTGTTGTAAAATAAATTTTGTTTCATTATCTTAAATAAAAATATGTAGAGAAACAAACATTCTTTACTTTTAGAATGACCCTCATATATATTATAACAAAAAATACTGTATTGGTTAATAAAATTTGATATTCATATTTTGAACTTTTTAAAAGCATATACAGGTATACTTCGCCTTACGTCGGTAATTGGTTCCAGGAGAACAACTTAAATCGAAAAACGATGTAAGTCGAATTTACTTGTCTCCGAATCTACTTGCCACTAGGCTAAACCATAAATTACCAATTCCCGTTCTGTATTTTATTTATTAATGCATTTTTAATAGTATATGGTTAATAAGGATCTATTTTAAGCTTACAAACAAATAAATTTTAGTTTTTAATATAGTACAGAAAAAAGTAATTTAAATTTACAAATGCATGTACTGTAAATACGGTATATACTTGTAAATGTATATATATTAATATGATTTTATGTGCTTTAAACATTCTTCTAGTGATATTATGACTTCAATATTTGTGGTGGACAGCATAAAGTCGAATAAAATGACTTAAACTTGATTTTTATTTTTCCATATACTTTTTTGACAAACGACATATAATCGGGAACGACGTAACTCGAAACAACGTAAGTTGAGGTATACCTGTATTTATATAAAGTACCTTTGTGGCCTGCTGAATATACCTAAATTTCTAATTTGGCCCATTAGGAAAAAAGGTTAGACAACCCTGGTGTACACTATTTGATGCATATCCAGTAAAGATGTTGGCAACCATCACTTCATAAACAAGTTTCTGAATGCCAAGTATTAAAAACATGTTATCTGCCAAGCTAATTCCAACAACCAAAGAACAGTTTTATAACAAAATCCTGTATCTTCTAAGATGACTCTGCACCAAGTCATTGTATGAAAATAGTGAGAAAGTATAGTGTCCTTTATGGTTTGTTAGCATTATTGTCACTTAAACTGGCATACACTTTGTAATTTAGGTAAAAAATAAAATTCATACAAGCAGCCCAAATCAATACATGGCTGGCCAGATAACAATGCTGATCTCAGCGTTACCTATAATATGCCAGTAGTTCTCAATTACCTATAATATGCCAGCAGTTCTTCTTCTGAAAATTGCAGAGAAAAGGCCTTAAACTGTAGAAGCATCTTACAAGGAGACGATTAGATACTTGGGTCTCTGAATCAAACAAAACTTGGTGAGCATGTAGTCCTAAACACAAATGACTCCTTGTCTAAATAATAGGATCCATTTTCTGAAGTATTTCTGAAAAAGAAGCTAAATACTCAATTTTCAGAGGCCTATAAGTCTAAATTGCCAAATGATCGCCTAAATATCGGGCTATTATATGGCTAATTAAATGATTAGAATAAAGTAATTTGTCATTAGAGGTAGGCATTAGGCTCCATCTCTTAAGTAAATTAATAATTAAAATTAAATAAATAAATTATTAAATTAATTTTAGAACCTTCTGGAATAAAAGAACTAGCCCGGGACGGGGCTTGAACCTGCAACCTCCGCTTGCCGTTCGGTGCGCTTGCCTGTTACGCCACCTAGACTCCGAGCGAGTCTTCTCTTCCAGAAGTATATTAGATTAGATATAACCTTACTTGGTTAAATACATCAGACATAGGCCTATAAGTCTTTGAAAGTTTCATGTTTCCTTGGAATGGCAATGGCTGAGTGGATAAGATGTTAGACACTGGAGCTTCATGATATGGGTTTGAAAACATCACAATTTTAGTTTTTTTTTTTTAAACCAAAAAAAGAAAACTAAAATGGCAAAGGTTCAAACCTATATTGTGTAGCTCCAGTGTCTAGAATGTTATCCACTCAGCCATCATTGTTCCAAGGAAACAGGCAACTTTCGAAGACTTATAAGTAAAACACTCAATTTTCAGAGGCCTGTTTTTCAGTAATGCTTCATAAGTGGATCCTATTATTTGGACAAGGAGCTGTTTGGGTTTAGGACTACATGCTCACCAAGATTCATTTGAATTAGAAACCCAAATGTCTAACCCTCTCCTTGTTATCCTTGTTAGAAGAGTTTAGTATCACAAGCTTTCACAAGTGGATGAATTTCTTCATCATTTGAAGAAATTCATCTACTCTATGCTATAGCATTGAAAAACTATTATTAAGGCTTAATGTGGTTCTAAGAAATATTCGAATTCCATTCAGCAAGAAATAATTGTTTCTGTTATATTTTTCAGGCCTACTTTCTATGAACCAGATATATACCTTTCTAGAGTTTCCATGAACAGAGTGCAAGACATGTTGAGTGAATATAGTGGATGTTCAAGGATCTCTCAACTGCATTTTTTGCAGCAATGTTGTTACTACAGCAACAATATATTTTATTTTTGATATTAAATTTCAGTGTAAGCTGCTATTATCAGTATAAATACTTACAGTATATCTAGTAGTACTCTTTCTTTTCTAGTATTTAAGTGTCTAGTAAATGAGACAACTGGACAACCTCTACTAAAATATTTTATTAATTAATTTGAAAAATTTATTTTGAGTGATTACACTCTCTTCAGTGCCATGCAGTATTAAAAGTTACAAAAAAAAGATTATTTGTGTGACTATACTACCCATATAACACCAGAAAAGAAAGAGTACTGCTGTATATAAGTATTGTACTTGTAATAGCAGCATACACTAAAAGTTTAATATCAAAATCTTGAATCCAATCCACTATATACTAATATTTTTTGTAACAAACTTTGATTGTTGTTGCTTAAATGCATGTCATAAGTGATGTTCAATGAATTTCTTGTACAAGATTGATTCCTATCAACAGCTGCAACAGAACACATGCACAGTTAGAGTACATATTACTCTCTCTCCATAAAAACATCTCTGCTGATGGAGTTTGGCACCTGTCACACAATTAGCAATATATGCTACACATGGCCTGAGACTATGTGGAGAGCTTGTAAAAACTTCATTAATTAATTAAATACTGCCCACCTTGTACTTTTTTATTCATTAGTGATCAATAATTATGATGTGACCTTCACTTTAAAAAATATATCTTTGGCAACCATCACTTCATAAGTGAGTTTATATAAAAAATATCTGTACTTTGCATGAAAATATATTCTCTATTTTTATTTCTAGATCTGCCATTTATTTGTTACAGAACAACACAGTTGATATTTATCATGTCATATATTTCAAATTAAAAAGTGTTTACTAACTATTGATATAATTGCATCAATAACTACTCATAGGATGGAATAATTGGAAAGATATTCAATGCTTGTTTAATGATTTTTGGAAATTGCATCACGAATGTTGATTATCTTGTTCACCAGTTTCTATTTATGTGGAGTCTATGAATAACTCTTTAAATTAATATAGTATGTAGCATATTAAAATATTAGTTTGCATTTTTATGTTGAATCTCCAAAAAATTAATATAATTTAATAAAAATAAGTGATAAAAAATATCATAAAATATCATATCATATTTGATTTAAAAACTATGCACAGCTTTAATTTTTATTAATTATATTACAGGTGGTGTTTTCAATATGGAAGGAATAGATTCTGGTGATGAATCTGTACCATTTTGCATATCTGATGATGGTTCTACAGATGGTAATTTTTTTTACATAAAATAAGATTAATGGTTTATTTAGGTATTCTTTATTTAACTATCCATTAAAATGTCTTGGTAAATTGTATTAAATTAATGATATACAATGACAATGCTTTATAGATCTTTGTTATTTTTATAAATTTAAGTTTATATTTGCAAAAAATGTATAATGACTTTATTATGTTCAATTATTTATTTGAAAATAGTTGAACATTATTTATATGGTAAATTTATTTTAACATTTAGTACAATATTTAGAAGCAGACAAATATACAGTAGAGCGTCGATTATCCGAAAGTCAATTATCCGAAACGTCAATTATTTGAAAGAATTCCAGATGGCAAATTTAAATTTTCGCCAGTGCTGTGGCACTGCAATCTTTGGCTATGTCTTGGGCTACTCAAATATTTTACGTCTTTGATACTAAATTAACTTCTGAAGTATAATTTTTTATTGTTTTTATATTTTTCAATATATTTATTTTGTTTGTACAAAATAAAAAAATAATTTTTAACGATACAAGTCTTCATTAGGCTTAACATCGACAAAAATTCAACTCAAAGTGACACGCAACGGAGAAAAATTTTAACATGGGATAGGTTAATATATTTTTTTGTACATAATTGGTTATCCGAAATATCGATTTTCCGAACAACTCCACTCCCCAATTGATTTGGATAATCCATGCTCTACTGTGTTACTAAGTTATTTTAACCCTGCGTTAGTGCACTGAGTTTTTTTTCGGCATTAGTGCAGTGGGGCGTTTGTCCACCCCGACAATTTTTTTGTATCCATAAACCATGTAAGTAAAAATTCATAAAAATTTACTCATTTATTTGGTAAAGGCATGTGTTATTATACATATGATTATATTCAGGTATTATTACATATTATATTAGTACATAAATCCATGAAAATAAAAAACAACATTTATCAAAACTTATTACATTAGATCTTATTATTAAACCAATAGTAAAAAATCTAAATTGTTTTTAAGCGTTTTTGTTACTCTGATTCAATAGCTGACATTGTACTTTGGCACTCATTGCAAATGACAAGCAACTTGCTATGTTTGGTATTTTTTCAATATGTTTACGAAAGTCAGCCATTTTGAATTAAAATAAATTTAAATTATTTTTATTCAGATTGATTATTATGTCTATATTATAAATAATAAATGTGGTCATATTATAGTTATTTGAAAAATAAAAAAAACTAAATAAATATTTGTAAAATTTAAAAAAAAAACGTAATTAATACTGTGGGGTGTTTCAACACCCCACTGAGAACTGTTGTTTTTCTCTTACTGGAATTTCTGCAGCATCGTAGTAATTTCAGAGTATGCTCTATACATAAAATCATGAAGCTACTGAAGAGGACACAAATATTTCTTGCGAAATCTATGAATAGTGCAACTTTTAAAACGTTGGGGGTGGCGAAACACCCCACTGCACTAGCCCAGGGTTAATAATGTGTTATTGTTGATATTTTTGGTTTTGGTTTGTTATTTATAATAACTATTCACTATTTAAATAACTGTTTTATCAATACTTTATTGTTATTTTTAATAAATTTAAAAAGAAACTATATTTGTTTTAGCATTCCTTGTGCTCAAAAATTTATTGTATTAGTTCCATAATTTTGAAAATTTTTGAGTACTGTATAAAAGTTTAACTGAAAAGTCTCATATATTGGTATGACTTGGTGTTGATAGTATAAGTCACTTATTCCACACTTTTGGTATTTGCCAATTGCCAAATAATAGCCTATTTATCCCCTTTAATTTGGCACAATATGGTGAATACCAAATATTAATCGTGAATAAATCATCTACATGTTTACTCAGCATTTTGTGACAACCAAATGTATGAAGTTGGCTTAATATTTGATCTATCTGTACTTTAAAAACAATTATTGGATAACAATTGATAATCATCACATAGAATGGTAAAGCATAATGATAATGGAAAAAACTAAAATCTAACTCCATATATCTTATTTGAAATTGCAAAGAAATCTATTTCAGATTATTTGTAGATATGTTGCAGCAAAACATTGTTTCTATACAGTCATTTACATTGTATGTTGACAACTGTATAGAAACAATGTGTTTACATTTTTCTTCTTCCAATTATAAAAAGTTTATTTGCATCAAAGAACAACAATTTTTTTTATTTCTGTCTCTTCAAGTTCACAATCAGAAAACTTGCACACACTATACTATTGTTTAGTAAGCATGGATCATTTCTATTGATTTTTAAGGGAGAAAAATAGATATTTATTTTAAATATAATAAAAATAATATACGTAATACATAAAATCATCATGTTACAATTATATTAAATATCTCTGATTGCAAATAATAAAAATTGATGAAAATGAGACTTAATCATTTAATGTAGTGCATATACAGGGTGTTCACTTATACTTATCTCAGTGCAAAAGAGATCTTTTCAGCATTGCATATAGCACATTAGTTCTAGTGTAATGTTTACAGTAAAATAAACTAATTCATTTAAAACAGGAGCATGTGTAAATCATACAGTGTTTCAAGGCAAAATGTAAAGTAAGCTTTTGAAACATAAATAACAAGATGCAAATTAAAATGCATTCTTGACATATTAAGTGGCAACACACAATGTTGTTGTCTTTATNCGGCATTAGTGCAGTGGGGCGTTTGTCCACCCCGACATTTTTTTGGGTCCATAAACCATGTAAGTAAAAATTCATAAAGATTTACTCATTTATTTGGTAAAGGCATGTGTCATTATACATATGATTATATTCAGGTATGATTACATATTATATTAGTACATAAATCCATGAAAATAAAAAACAACATTTATCAAAACTTATTACATTAGATCTTATTATTAAACCAATAGTAAAAAATCTAAATTGTTTTTAAGCGTTTTTGTTACTCTGATTCAATAGCTGACATTGTACTTTGGCACTCATTGCAAATGACAAGCAACTTGCTATGTTTGGTATTTTTTCAATATGTTTACGAAAGTCAGCCATTTTGAATTAAAATAAATTTAAATTATTTTTATTCAGATTGATTATTATGTCTATATTATAAATAATAAATGTGGTCATATTATAGTTATTTGAAAAATAAAAAAAACTAAATAAATATTTGTAAAATTTAAAAAAAAAACGTAATTAATACTGTGGGGTGTTTCAACACCCCACTGAGAACTGTTGTTTTTCTCTTACTGGAATTTCTGCAGCATCGTAGTAATTTCAGAGTATGCTCTATACATAAAATCATGAAGCTACTGAAGAGGACACAAATATTTCTTGCGAAATCTATGAATAATGCAACTTTTAAAACGTTGGGGGTGGCGAAACACCCCACTGCACTACCCCAGGGTTAATAATGTGTTATTGTTGATATTTTTGGTTTTGGTTTGTTATTTATAATAACTATTCACTATTTAAATAACTGTTTTATCAATACTTTATTGTTATTTTTAATAAATTTAAAAAGAAACTATATTTGTTTTAGCATTCCTTGTGCTCAAAAATTTATTGTATTAGTTCCATAATTTTGAAAATTTTTGAGTACTGTATAAAAGTTTAACTGAAAAGTCTCATATATTGGTATGACTTGGTGTTGATAGTATAAGTCACTTATTCCACACTTTTGGTATTTGCCAATTGCCAAATAATAGCCTATTTATCCCCTTTAATTTGGCACAATATGGTGAATACCAAATATTAATCGTGAATAAATCATCTACATGTTTACTCAGCATTTTGTGACAACCAAATGTATGAAGTTGGCTTAATATTTGATCTATCTGTACTTTAAAAACAATTATTGGATAACAATTGATAATCATCACATAGAATGGTAAAGCATAATGATAATGGAAAAAACTAAAATCTAACTCCAAATATCTTATTTGAAATTGCAAAGAAATCTATTTCAGATTATTTGTAGATATGTTGCAGCAAAACATTGTTTCTATACAGTCATTTACATTGTATGTTGACAACTGTATAGAAACAATGTGTTTACATTTTTCTTCTTCCAATTATAAAAAGTTTATTTGCATCAAAGAACAACAATTTTTTTTATTTCTGTCTCTTCAAGTTCACAATCAGAAAACTTGCACACACTATACTATTGTTTAGTAAGCATGGATCATTTCTATTGATTTTTAAGGGAGAAAAATAGATATTTATTTTAAATATAATAAAAATAATATACGTAATACATAAAATCATCATGTTACAATTATATTAAATATCTCTGATTGCAAATAATAAAAATTGATGAAAATGAGACTTAATCATTTAATGTAGTGCATATACAGGGTGTTCACTTATACTTATCTCAGTGCAAAAGAGATCTTTTCAGCATTGCATATAGCACATTAGTTCTAGTGTAATGTTTACAGTAAAATAAACTAATTCATTTAAAACAGGAGCATGTGTAAATCATACAGTGTTTCAAGGCAAAATGTAAAGTAAGCTTTTGAAACATAAATAACAAGATGCAAATTAAAATGCATTCTTGACATATTAAGTGGCAACACACAATGTTGTTGTCTTTATAAAAAAAGAGTTATCATGAAGTCTGCTAATTGATAGAGCACTGTGACAATGCCTTACACTCATCAATACTACTGTGGAAAAATGCAAAATGCATGGAAGTAGCATTTAGATCCCAAAAGCACTTTCCAGCTACCTAAGTAATACATCACTTAATGCAAACTTCTAATACAGTTAGTGGTCAAAATCCTGGTTCTTTTCAAAGAAAGTATCTTAGTACAGCAATGTACAGGTATACCTCGCCTTACGTTGGTAATTGGTTCCAGGAAAACGACTTAAGTCGAAAAACGACGTAAGTCGAATTTACTTGTCTCTGAATCTATTTGTCACTAGGCTAAACCATAAATTACTATTCCCAGTTCTGTATTTTATTTATTAATGCATTTTTAATAATATATGGTTAATAAGAATCTATTTTAAGCTTACAAACAAATAAATTTTAGTTTTTAATNAAAAAAAGACTTTACTTGCCTTGAAAAAGTAGGGATACGTTCCGTAATTTTCTAAAATCGCATAAAACCAAAACAACGAGTTAAAATTAACTTAAAACCGCATAAAAAAAGTTTGCAGAAATTAAAAGAAATAGGCTGCTTAATAAATTACTTCGAATGTCTGAAAGAAATTCATATAAAAGCTTAAAATAAACTTGTATTCAAACTTAATTCAGTTAATTTTATTGAAAAGTAATATAGTTTTACATTTTTTTTGAATTTTTGGAATGTTTTTTAAGTCTCCAAATTTTTTAAAAATATTAAAAAATATACGGCTAGCTAGTGTTCACCCTACTTTAAACCCTTGTCCTCCCGCGACGTTTATGAGAATGCCCCGGGAAATCCAATTCCAGCTGTGTTCAAGGTCATCCAGATGTATAAACTGACTCATTGGTGTTAAATTTCACAGAAGGGCAAGACAAAGGAAGTTAAACTTTGAAGCTTTTTCTTCAAAATTAACGCATTTCTTTCGTTTTTTTTCAGTTTTAAGTATTTTTTATGTTTAATTACATTTATATCAAAAATTGCTAGGAACTAAAGCGATTAAGGTAGATCTAGCTGTCCTTTACATCCATAAACGTTATATGTCAGTGGAACAAATGGAGTGAGCTTTGAGTGTCCCACGATTTTTGGAGACTGTCTATACGCGGGCTTCCCAAACAAGCCTATATGTATGTTTGTCCAAAAAAATTTTGGATGAAATACAAACCGCACAACTTCAAAATCGCATTAAAAAAATCCGCATAAAACGAGACCTTACAGTAAAAGGAAATTTTGTTTAACTAGAAATAAATGTTAGCTTTCCCACGTTCCTTTATGCAACAAGAGTGTAGTGAAATGATGTCACGAGCAGTGTTGGCCAATTAGAAACCAGTTTCAGTGTGTTCGCTGTAAAGCGCTTCTCGAGCACTGCATAAAGAAACGTGGGGCTGTTAATTTCATAAATTGTAGAAGAGAGAACTTGTGAAAGAATATTCATAAATTGTAGAAGAGAGAACTTGTGAAAGTAATTTTTTAAGAATTCTGTTTGTTTTTTTCTTTTTTTGCAAGTTTATCTGTACAATAATTAAAACATATAAAAACTGCACCTATATTAGTGTGGATATCTTTTGTGCTAATCCATATTTTAATTGATGAGGTTACAATTGTAAGAATAAATCAAGTCAATGCACAATTTAAAATTAAAGTAGTAGTAGTCTTTGTAAATAGAAAAATCCAGAAATTATTTTTGTTGAAGTTTCTTCATAAACAGTAAAATCAATAAAACCAATAAGTTACCTCCCTTTTCCTCCATATCACTCATCACTAATATGATTCACACAAATTTGGTAAATAAATTATGACAATCAGTATTTTACATATATAAATTATAGCTTACATTTATTCCAATCTTTCACATCAGAGGAATTTTGGCAATGCTTTCATGATCAAAAATATGCTGTAAGAACTTAACTCCTGTTTATGTAATTTAGTTTGTGGTTCAGTTTCATTATACAACACAGTTTCCAAGATCCTATTGACACTTATTTAAGTCCTAATTGAACCTAAGTCCTTTTTTTTCTTAAATACTTCTTAAAAGCTTAAAACATAGAATGTCCTTTATCAGGAACATGAAGGTACAATTATAATCCAGTTTAAAGTGCTTTTTAGTAAATAAAAGGAGGATATTTTGGAAGCAAGATTTAAGATTGTTTTCCTATTTTTATCCAGTAATGATAACTATTATATATAATTTTGCAAAAATAAAATTTTGTAATTCATATCATATATGCTTATTATAAAATATTACCTATCTCATAATAATTCTATTTAATACACATAATCATTATTTACTTTGAATATTATCTATAAATATGTTCATTTTCAGAAAGCAGTGCTGCTGAAGATTCTGTAGTGCATTATCGGCGTATTTCAAGACGTTATGCTACATCCTTACCAATTAATGTTCCTTCCTGGGCTGCAGTTAATCATTCCAGTGGATCTGACGAAGAAGAAGAGGTTACTGTTTACTTTTTATACTTCAAGTAAATTTACATAGTTAAAATTAAAAACTGTTAGTGATTGATGCAACCTATCATTCTGAATGATCTAGATTTAATTTTCTGTACATGATCTGATCCAAATTACATATCTGTATATTTAGTCAGTCAAGTTACAGCCCAATATTGAATTCAGCTTTATTGTTAAATATTAAAGGATGATTAAATTTTCTAGGCACCACCTCTTGATGATCCTGAACAAGTCGCCGCCAGTATCAAAGCACTCTCTCTCAGCGTAAAAGATGACGGTACTAAAATGTTTGGAGATCTTCCTCCGTCACAGTTGACTACTGCTGATTTATTAAATTCTCATCCATTGCTAACTGGACAAGAATAGCAAGTAACTTTATATATTTATAAAATGCAAATAAAATTAGCAATTACATTTTGCATCAATTAGATTTATATGCAGTATTATTATTTCCTTAAGATCTGTGAAATAACTATTCAATATTAATTATCATCATAAAGGTTCCTTTTATAATAAATGTTGGTGATCTTGAAGCTGTGATATGTGCATTGCATTGCATTAGCCTACTTTTATAATATTTAACATAAATTATTCAACTAATCATTGTTAACTGTATTGTCCTATGTTATGTAAAATTATTTATGAATTTAAATACAAACATTCATTATTATTACGTTACATTAAAAAACCAAATGAAAGTATTGTAAAATTCAGGGCTCCACATATTCAGGACTTACCAATTGCCAAATAATTGCTGTTTGTCAGTTGGTGAGCACAAATGTACACCCACAGTTATTTGTTGAGCATCAGTTCATTATAGGAATTACAAATGTTTGTTCAAGATTCATCCCCTCTGATTTGGCACAGTATATCAATAAGAAGTGGGAAATGGTGAAAAATGAATATTTGTCAAGCTAAATCACAAGTAAATCATCCATACTACTAAGAATTGGTCAAATATTTGCTCATTCGGCAAATACCAAATGTGTGGAGCCGTCTTTAGATATAGCTATTTACAATCCATAGCAGTTATTAACAGAAAAATTTGGAGTTAGATAGTAATAAGTTTAGTAAAACAATACAGTGATACCTTGTACTATGAATGCAAAATTTGCTTCAGAGTTTAAACTGTGCATGCAGTGAAAAAATGTGCTCAAAGCATAAACACAGTCTGTTGTGTATCCAACTCATCTATCGCACTCGCATTATACAGGGGTTGGACAAAAATATGGCAATACCAAAAAGAAACCTATTACTAAGCCTAATACAGTGTAGGAAAACAGTTTGCAGTCTTCTCAGAATGGATAAATACAGGTCCTGTATGGTTTTCAAGGAAATCTTATACCATTCCTCCTGCAAAATAGTGGCAAGTTCAGGTAATGATGATGGAGGTGGATAGCGATCATGCACCTGTCTCTCCAAAGTAGACCACAAAGGCTCAATAATATTGATATCTGGTGACTGTGGTGGCCAGAGGAGATGCAACAAATCACCCTCGTGCCCACAAAAGCAGTCTTGGACAATGTGAGCTGTGTGAACAATGTTTTTCCTCAATGGTGATGCTGTTCACCATTGAGGAAAAACATTGTACCATGGGATGGACACAATAGCCCAAAATGGTTACATAATCTTTGGCAGTAATGTGACCTTGCAGAGTAATCATGGGGCCCATGGAATACCACAATACGGCTTCCCAAATCATCACCATGTTTCACTCTTGGCAGCAAGCAGTCTGCATCATAGGCTTGGGACGGCATTCGCCAGACGTAATCTCGGCCACAGGTTGGAAACAGTGTAAAACAAGACTCATCCAACCAAATAACTCTTTTCCATTGCTCCGTAGTCCAGGTTTTATGACTTCAGCACCATATTTTCCTCTTATGGGCATTTGCACCACTGATTAATGGTTTTGGAATTGCATCTCCTCCTGAAATTCCCTGCTTATGGAGCTCCCTTCAAAACTTTTTTTTTGCAGACAGGGTTTGTGAGATCCATATTCACTTTGGCAGTGACTTTTGCAGCTGTAGCCTTTTTATTTTTTTTCACAATCCTCTTCAATGACCATCTGTCATGATCACTCAACACACACTTTCGTCCACATTGTGAGTTAGCAGATAAAATGTTTTTCTGCTTGTTCTGTATGCAGTATAAATATTCAATACGGTGCCTCTTGACACACCAAACACTTTGGCCACCTTGGTTATGGAAGCACCCACCATATGAGCATCAACAATTTGCCCACATTCGAATTCACTTAGCTCTGACATTGTGCACTCCCACCTACACAGAACACAGTTCTAACAATGACTGACACATGCAACATATTGAGGAGATTGCACAGTAAATATTAAATAAATAGTAAAACAATGGATCGGTTATTCTAAATATTAAAATAATAAATTCTAAAAAATTTTTCTTTAAAAAATCTTTTAAGAAATAACAAGTGACATTCACTTTTTAAAAACCGATTTCGATAGAATTAAAAACAGAGATGGACTAGAAGTCTATTTAGTATTTCTCACTTTATTTTATCCATATATATTTTGCTTATCAGCCTCATCAGTGGACTTTACAATCTTACATTGCCAATACTTTTGTACTCTATTAAGCTATCCCAGCATGCATCAACACATGCGCCGGTATTTAAATTAATACAATTTACAAGTCCTTTGATACAATAATGTTCGATAACAAGTTTTTTTATTTTGTACAATATTTTAACATTATTTTGGTCAATAATACAGTTTGTTATACTGCGGTGTTGTTGCCATGGGGATTCGGTTCTTTTTAGTCGGATTGCCGCCTCATGCTCTTTCAGTCTCACTTCAAGTTTTCTTCCAGTTTCTCCAATATAATATTTCTGTTCTGTACATGTACACATCAGCCTATATATAATTCCTGCTACTTCTAAAGGATTCTTTGATTGTTTCTCATTTACTTTATTAATTAAACAGATACTCTTGTTTAACCTATTTCTTTGTTCACCTACTAAGTTGACAAAAAATAATTCTTTAATATAATTTTTATATTTTTCATAAAATTTTGAAATATACGGAATTTTAATATATAAATTTTCTATTTTTTTATTTTTGACATTATATCTATTATTAATATAAGTATTATACCATTTTTGTATAAGCTGCTGTGGGTAATCATTTAATAAATATTTTTTAAAAAGATTCTTAGTCTCTATTTCAATATATTTTTTTAATGTTGTTCTATTAAATATTTTCCTTAATTCCATCAAAAATACATTTTGTTTTATTCCCATAGGACAATATGATTTATGATTAATCACCTTACTATTATTACATATTTTCTCATACTTATGAAACAGCAATGTTTCATTTTGTCTTGTAATTGTGACATCTAAATAATTAATTTCATAATTTCTTTCTTCTTCATAGGTAAATTTAATGTTATTATTTAAACTATTTGCATAAATCTTGATATTTTCGGCTGTGGTGTCGTTTGAGTCGTACAAAATTAATATGTCATCCACATATCTAGTATAAAAAACAATACCTTGAAACTGGAAGATTCTTCCATCTAATGATGCCATACAAATGTCTGCAAGTTTTAGGCCAACCACTATATTATAGTGCACTATTATATATATTAGGGCACTATAATATAGTCCCCTATATACAGACGATACCAACTCAATTTAGCCGCTCCGTAGCGTGGCGCAGGGTCGGAGGAAAGTAGTTCGGCTGCTCATCCACTATTGGTCTAGACTCTATCAATCTTGTTGCGAAAGGAGTTGGCGAAGACGTTTTAGGAGATGCTTTATACGAATGTTGCTACAATTTTTTCGCTACATTATAGGAATTGTCATTATAGGAACGCACGTTATAGGGGGGTTGACTGTACTGCAAATAATTTTTTAAATAATGTTCTAAATTATATAGTACTGAGTATTTAAAATCCACTAATGGCCTAAAAATTTGTCCCACCTTGTGGGTTTTAAGTCTAATATTAAGTTGTGGGATACATACATTATTAAAATTTACTATCTTCTTAAAATCTTGACTTGTAAACTCTTTTCCATACGTTTTCATTAATTTAATTAATTTCTTTTTAATATCTTCCGTTGGATCATGGGGTAAAACAGCGTTTCTCAAAGTGGGTGATAACGCCCCCTTGTGGGCGCTGGAGGCTTTCAGGGGGGCAGTAGAAGGCTCAAAGAGAATTGGGGGGCGTTAAGAAAATATAGAGGGGCGACGGCAGACAAATTCTATATATAAAAATTCGATGGAATATATATAAAATGTTGACATTTTATATATTTTTTATTTTTTATTGAAGGTCACAACTTGAATATTTCTAACACATTGACTTTTATTTTAGCTCAGCGTTTCTCAAAGTAAGCAATAACGCCCCTTTCTGGCGCGATGAATAGATCTATGATAGAGGCAGGGTATTGAACGGTGACCAAAGGCAAAATTGGGGCTGATAAGAGGAAACATTGCGTTTAATGGTTTCCAGATGATGAGAACAATGTACAGTAAGGGCACAAAGTGTGAGATTCATAGAAAAGTTTTCCTAAGAATATTTCCAATCCTTTTTTCACACAAGAGAAAATGGGTTAGGGGGCGTTGGGTATAACTTTATGGAACAAAGGGGGCAGTGGATCGAAAAAGTTTGAGAATCACTGGGGTAAAACTTCATATTCATCTGAAGTTTCTGTTTGTTTTTTTTTTTTGTTGTAAGTCTGAATTTTTAATAATTATAAGTGCGTGAGATTTATCTGCTTTTATAATAGAAATTTGTTTATTTTTAAAAAACTTTAATTAATCTATTTGTTTTTTTATTTATTTTAATTGCTTTTTTATCTAATACTAGCAGACCCCGCCACGTGTTGTTGTGGCTCAAAATGTATCTATTATAAATGTGGGGGATACATTTCGGGGAGAATTTTTCGAAAAATTCCTTAGTGTACATTTTCTTGACATACCCTATTAAAACGTAGTCAAAAATGCAAAAAACTGCATCTGAAATAGTATAATAGAAGCCAAGTTCTTCATGGTAAGCCTTAATCCTGTTCCTCTCCCCGCGGGGGGAATATAAAAAAATCTCTTCTTAGTGTATATTCTGTTCACATACCCTATTAAAACGCAAAAGACTGCATCTAAAATAGTATAAATAGAAGCAGAATTCTTTACGGTAAGCCTTAATCCTGTCCATCTCCCGGAGGGATTTCGACGTGTATATTATATAAAAACACATGCGTATTCAAATGCAACGTTGTGTCAAAAATTCAAAGGAATCGGTAGGAACAAACAAACATTACATTTTTATCTATATAGATAGATAGAAGATGATCCGCTTTAGTTCATTTTCACAGAAAAGCATAATGCCTCACAGAAAAGCAAACTTAGGGCATCATACTCGTAGCGCCATCTGTTGGACAAAAAAAGCCTTAACCATAGATGATATCATTTAATTTATATGAATGTTTAACGGAATAATATACAGCCTATGTCCACCCCGAGGTTCAATTCTAAATATTGGTGAAATAATTTTTGAAATCGGATGAGTAGTTTCGGAGATTACCTGCTGCAAACAAACTTACAAACATTACCTCTTTATAATATTAGTATAGATATAATTTTTGTATGCACCTTTTCCTTTATATTTTTAAAGATCTCTACTTAAATTTTTCTTTAACTGATTTTTATCTTCTTGTTTTCCTGGGATTCGTTGGATAATACTTTCTATTTTGGCCACAACTTCAATTGTTTTTGTAAATATAGGTAAATTCATATTACTTCCATATGATAATAAACGTAGCTAATCTTCTGGTACTTCAATGTCTGTTAAATTTATAATTCATTTTTTTAACCATTCTTCTTTCTCTGTAGTTAAAGGGTAATCAAATTTTTTATTTAATTTGATATTCTTTTTAACATTATACTGATCATTTCTGTTAATATTTTTTGTGCCAATATCATTATTTCCAATATTATTATTTCTCCTTTTTAATTTAAATTTTTTAGACAATAAAAATATTTGTTACAGTTTACTTTTAAAAATAATTATTTTAAAATCTCTACAGAACATTATCGTCAAAGAGACGGAATAGCAATGGGATCAGTGGTTGGCCCAAAACTTGCAGACATTTGTATGGCATCATTAGATGGAAGAATCTTCCAGTTTCAAGGTATTGTTTTTTATACTAGATATGTGGATGACATATTAATTTTGTACGACTCAAACGACACCACAGCCGAAAATATCAAGATTTGTGCAAATAGTTTAAATAATAACATTAAATTTACCTATGAAGAAGAAAGAAATTATGAAATTAATTATTTAGATGTCACAATTACAAGACAAAATGAAACATTGCTGTTTCATAAGTATGAGAAAATATGTAATAATAGTAAGGTGATTAATCATAAATCATATTGTCCTATGGGAATAAAACAAAATGTATTTTTGATGGAATTAAGGAAAATATTTAATAGAACAACATTAAAAAAATATATTGAAATAGAGACTAAGAATCTTTTTAAAAAATATTTATTAAATGATTACCCACAGCAGCTTATACAAAAATGGTATAATACTTATATTAATAATAGATATAATGTCAAAAATAAAAAAATAGAAAATTTATATATTAAAATTCCGTATATTTCAAAATTTTATGAAAAATATAAAAATTATATTAAAGAATTATTTTTTGTCAACTTAGTAGGTGAACAAAGAAATAGGTTAAACAAGAGTATCTGTTTAATTAATAAAGTAAATGAGAAACAATCAAAGAATCCTTTAGAAGTAGCAGGAATTATATATAGGCTGATGTGTACATGTACAGAACAGAAATATTATATTGGAGAAACTGGAAGAAAACTTGAAGTGAGACTGAAAGAGCATGAGGCGGCAATCCGACTAAAAAGAACCGAATCCCCATGGCAACAACACCGCAGTATAACAAACTGTATTATTGACCAAAATAATGTTAAAATATTGTACAAAATAAAAAAACTTGTTATCGAACATTATTGTATCAAAGGACATGTAAATTGTATTAATTTAAATACCGGCGCATGTGTTGATGCATGCTGGGATAGCTTAATAGAGTACAAAAGTATTGGCAATGTAAGATTGTAAAGTCCACTGATGAGGCTGATAAGCAAAATATATATGGATAAAATAAAGTGAGAAATACTAAATAGACTTCTAGTCCATCTCTGTTTTTAATTCTATCGAAATCGGTTTTTAAAAAGTGAATGTCACTTGTTATTTCTTAAAAGATTTTTTAAAGAAAAATTTTTATAATTTACTGTATTATTTTAATGCACAGGTGTCGTTAGTAATCAAATACAACAGTGCAACCTAGAGGCTTGGCTAGAATCAACATTTACATTCAACTATGCATTTCGCGAGGGGTTTTCATATTTTTGTCCAACCCCTGTACTTGTATGTTTTACATTCTTTTTTTGCTTTACTTTTGGTGTGTTTGGTTATATATTTACTGTAATGTGTGTTATTTGTCAATTTTTAACAATTTCTTCCTGCAATTTTTCTTCATTTATATGTTTTGTATCCGTTAGTTGAAAATTTCTCAAATATAACTTTTTAAATCATGTTTGAAGTTTAGGTGACCTTCTCCATACACATTACAATTATTTTTTATCATTTGTATGGTATTATGGTTTATTAGTTTCAAAAAGGATATAATATGGTATGCCTGATATGCTTTTTATTCAAACAATGTGAAGTACAGTACATAGTTTAAAGTAAGCTTCTAAATAAAGAATAAATTCTCACACTAAGTATAATATGCTAAACTTCACAACTGTTATAATTAAATCACATCTATGTTAAGATGCAGAAGTCCACAGCATGGGACCAATAAATGCAGTTTTCATTTTATTATACACTATTTATGTATTTTATTTACAATTTTCATGTTTTTTTTATTAGGGAATTTACATTTGTTATTTTATCTGGCAATGGATTAATTCACTTTCCATTACTTCTAATTGAACTCCAAATCAATTTTTCCTAACAACCTTTTGGAATGAATTAAATTCAAAGTACAAGACACCACTGTATCTTTTTTCAATATTATCAGTTTAAAGTTCTTGCTGATATCATCATTGTAATTCAAGACACAGATAGGTGCAATTAATACTTAATAAGTTACTGATTTGTAAAAATGATTTACAGAATATTTAAAGAAACAAAGTACACAAACAAATGCAATTTTTTAACAACAAATTTTGAAATGAAGTAAATTGTAGAATTCCTATTACTATAAATTTAAGTGCATAAAGATGCTATATGTGAATCACATCTGATTATATATATATAATCTTGATAACTGAAGATTTTCTTATTTGATACATAAAATTATTATATTGTTCAGCTTATAGGCATCAAAACTAAGGGTAAGGGGAGGCTTATGTCCTCCCCGAAAATGCCTTTGTTTCAATTTCCCAGAAAACTCAAAAATTTGTAATATGATCACTTTTGAATTTGACACCTTTCATTTTGTATGAAGATAAATATTAAATGCAATTATTGGAGCAGCTGCTATTATATTGAAAGTATATATGAAATGTTATCTTAGGATTAATAATGTGTATGATTGTGTAATATTTAATTTGAATATTTATTGTATTGTATATGTGCATGTTAGGATTGAAGGCTATGTACAATAGATAAAACATTTTAGAGGAAATGGCTAAGGTGTAGCCCTTAGATATGTATGCGCCTATATAATTAGGAAAATTTAGATACAAATTGTTTTTATTTACAGTCTTGACAGTATTGTCTTATAACCTTTAAAGTCAAAGATGAATTTCAGATATGCCATTCTCCTAATATTTGGTATATAGCATACTTCCTCCAAATATTAAAAAAATATGACATATTTGAAGCTGTAAAATAGAATTCCAATTTTAGAATATTATGAAAGTGAAATGAGAATCACAATTCTTAACCAGTTAAATTCTATAATAGAATGAAATGTTATATTATGAATGTCTTGACAGAATACTTGTTTCCAGAATTTATCATGGAAACAGTTGAGAATATTATATTAATATGTGAAGTTATATGCCAAAATAAACACTTGTGATAAATGTACAAAACAATAATTTTATTCCACTAGAAAAATTATTTTAAAAACATTCTCAAACATTGTTTTATTTATTTTTCTTTTAGTTTTTTAGTAGATTTTGTATTATTTTTTCTATTTTACTGAAAATGTAAAAGAAATTGATGTTCTTTAACACATTCCTAGTATTGAAAATAAAAATGTAAATAATTATATGATCTTTGTAATGATTCAATTTCTCTAAATCAGATTTTATACTCTTTAGAAAAAATTTCAATTTTTTTTTTGTCACACGAAAACATAATATTTTAAAAAGAGCATTTCATTTCAGGTGTTTTAAACACCAACAATCTAATCTTCAGAGCAAATCTCAGATACTGAAAATAAAAATAAAAATTAGAATTAAAACCTTGAGATAAGAGCAGAATTACCAATATGTTTATTCAAGATGTCAAAAAATGCCAAAAATTTCAATAATTAGAAACTTATTTTGCTGTGGATTCAGTAAGAAAAGTAATTTTTGGTGTTTATTTAACTTCATCAAACATATTTGTTGTTCTAACTGCTTTTAAATATTTGAACGCCTCAAAATAGTTTTTTCCACTGAAATCCATAATAAGTATGATATTAAGTGTTACTGGATTTTATACAAACTGTTTATAACAGTTGAATATTTACTCTTACCACTGAAATATTTTATCAATCAACAAAGGATACTATTACATCAGATTTTAATATGTTTAGGCCATTAGTCCAAATATTGTGTTTGGCTAATTAATTATAAAGATAAACAAATGAGATCAAAAAATTAAGCATTATTACTATATGTTGGTCTTGGCTTATATGTAAGTATATTTGAGGATGATGATAATGTACAAAATGGCTGACATATTTCATATTCATAAAATCAATGTTTTAATTTGATTTTATCCTTCTGAAAAGTTTTAAAACAGGTCAAAAGCTTACTTCTGGAAGGCTAATATAAACAATTTCAACTTACTGGTCAAAGATCAAATAAAAACATTAAATATCAGCAAAAATATATTTCATTATCTGTAATAAATGAGCAATGATAATACAGTAAAATATCTGGTATTCTTATTAAATGCAATTTTAAACAAACACAAAACTGAAAATAATATATTTATTATTAGTGTTTTTTATTTTGTTACTTGTGATTAATAAATTTATACAATATTACATTATAACAAATATACAAGGACAAAACAAAAGTCTCTCTTCAACTTATAGCAATATTAATAATAATAATAATATAAAATGGATAGAACAATTATTTAGTTGAAACATGAACACAGTACTTGCTATATAAAATGTCTAGTGTTTTATTTTTAGAAACTTAAGAAATGTAGAAGAGGATAAATGTGTAATGTAATCATAAAAAATTTTTTAACTGTTGCAAAATATTTTTCTGTACTTTTGATAATTTCATATCTGCTAATTGAATGGCAGCCTGCTTCCTTCCAAGTTGCTTAGTAATTATTTAACCTTAAAGCCCGATAGAGAATCCAGCTATTCATTTGTTAAATTGTAGATTTGCAATTTAAATACTATTTGGGCATAAATATTTTAAATATTTATGCCCAAATAGTTTTTAATTTTTATTTTTATTTGCAATTTGTTATTTTTATTTGATTTTTTATTTGCAATTTGTTCTTTCAAAAAGATTAATGATAGATGATACAATTTACATTTATTTTGGCAATAAATTTTAACATTTGTGGCACACTCATGAAGTCCAGACTTTTCATAGTATTTAACAAAGATAAGAATTAGTTGTAAAAAACTGAAATAAAACTTAATTACTGAAAATATTTATAAGTAATGATGAAGTAGGCTTTTGTCTTGTCTTGTAAGCTTAATTTTATATATATACAAAAATATACATAACTTCACACAGGTATTAAGTTTTTTGTAGAGGGATGAATGATGATACAAGCGTTGTTTTCAATCTTCAGTTGTGTTAGCTGGGTGTGAACTTTTGTAATAGTTCTCCATAAAATCTTGCACATAATGAGATTAGAGACCACCATATATGATGCATGTAATGTGACCGAGTCATTACTATTCTGAGTAATGATATTGCTATACTCAACCTGAGAACTTTTCCCAAATAGTATAATCTATAAAAGTTTCAAGAAAGTAATTTATGTATGTTGTAAATAATGATTTTTATCATCATCATACTTTATAATCATTTAATTTAATTACATTTAAGATTCAGAAAATTACTAATATCTCAAGTTTAGAAGAATTTTGAATTAAAGTTAATCACTTATTAAGCCATCCATTAAACAACAGCTTAAGATTGATAGTACAATACAGAAATTGTTTGAAATAATAAATTAATAATGAAGATAAATTTAAAGTATTGTATTTAAGTGTGTGATAATATCTATAGAAAAACTTATATTTATCTAAATATTTTTATTTTATAGAAGGGATAAATTAGAGTAGGTTACTAAGTCTTCTCTATTAAGAAAATAAAACAGATTGACAGAACATATTGCTTATTATCATAGTGCAACTTATTATATTAGCCTAATTCTTATACTTTTGTTAATCTAGTTTTTAGATTATTTGTAGTTTAAATACTTCATATGACATTGCATGTAAATATATTTTTTAACTACTATGAATAGTCAAATTTAATTCTATTACTACAAGCATATTGTTTTAAATTGACTGAAAATTACTTCATAATTTAATAATAATATCATTAAACTCTATTGCTAGATAACTGAAATTTAATTTAGTTGATAAAATGGGTATTTTTTCATTTATTTAATATTGATCTTTATACACTTTGAATCGTAAAAATTAATTTCCATTTATGACATTCGGTTATTAAGAATATGTATTAATGAATTTCATGTTACCTTGTAAGTTTTCTTCTGGCAGCAGGTAATGTTGCATCATCCTCATGTAAAATAAATCTTCTAAGTCCTCTGACGTAATTTTCTAAATAGACTGACATGTTAATGTGGCGTAAATCAAAATTGAATGTCTGTAGGAAAATAAATAGAGTTCATTAAAATTCAAAATAAAATTACAGTTAATTCAAACATTGATATTAATTAAGCAATTAAGATAAGAGTAATACATAGGATATGCAACATTGTGAATTCTCTTACGACAAATTGTCATATGTCACTTTCACTCTTATTAAAATTTATCAGATACAGAAATCAATCAGTCAGCAATCAAATTGGGTCATTGCTGTAGAGAATTTTTCATTCATTCATTCTTTGAAGACAAGCAAATGAATTAGCAGATTAAAGAAGGATAAATTATCTCAACTTTATTATTATTATACAGTCACAAAAGCAAGGAGTGTAAAGTGAGCATCTACTTTGTGTAATTATTAGTTACAATTCTCATCATAATTCTCCAGATTTTAGTCAAATGACTTTTATTTTATGCAAAATCCTCAAACATCACAACATATATACTGCTGGCCAAATAAAATGCAACACCATGTAGGACTCTAGATATTACAGGTATATTTTACTTGCAGGCATTTTACTTGGCCAGCAGTGTATATTATAAATGCATATTTCTATAGGGTTGGCAACTAAGTGATTGTGGATTTTAAATAAGAAGTAAAATTCAAAATTTTTGCTTAAAAATATAACTTTATTCAATTAGGTATTGTCCATTTTTGTCAATGACCTCTTGCCATCTTTCAGGCAGTGTCATAATTCCATGTTCATAAAACTTCTGATTTTTGCCAGCAAAAAACTGAATTAATTAATTAAATGTGTTTTTACATCATCAGCGTCATTAAAAATTTTACCATTTAAGGAGTTCTGCATGGAACAAAATAAATGGTAATCTGAAGCGCAAGGTCAGGGCTATATAGTGGATGTGACAACACATCCCAACCTAGCTCCAATAATTTTTGGCGAGTGACCAAAGATGTGTGTGGCTTTGCATTATCATGCTGGAAAACAACACCCTTACGATTTGCCAATTCTGGCCGCTTTTCTTGAACTGCATCGCTTAGTTTGGCGAGTTGTTGAACGTACACATTTGAATTAATCGTTTGGTTTCTTGGTAAAAGTTCAAAGTACAGAATTTCTTTATAATCCCACCAAACTGACAGCATAATCTTTTTTTTTTGGTGAATCTCAGCTTTTGGTATCATCTGGGCTGGTTCATCTCGCATCACCCATGATCTTTTCTGATTAACGTTGTTATAAACTATCCACTTTTCATCGCCAGTAATCAGTCGTTTCAGAAATGGATCAATCTCATTGCGTTTCAGAAGTGAATCGCAGATGCTAATGCGTTGCATCAAATGAATTTCTTTAAGCTGATGAGGGTCCCATAAATCCAGTTTCTTGACATAGCCAAGCTGTTTTAATTTTTTTTTTTTTTGAATGCATGTATGTGATACATTGAGCTTCTGTGCAATCTCATGCGTTGTGCTATGACGATCTGAATTGATAATGGCCTTGATATGGGTCTCATCAACTTCAACTGGACGGCCAGATCGTTGAGCATTTTTCAGTGAAAAATCGCCAGAACGAAATTTGGCAAACCAATTTTGACACTACCTTTCTTTCAAGGCTTCATTCCCTTATACGGCACATAACTTCTTATGTGCTTGTGATGCGTTCTTGCCTTTTCGGAAATAATACAATAAAATATGCCTGAAATGCACGTCTTGTTCTTCCATTTTTAAATTGGGATAAAAACGAAACTAAATAACTAATCGATACAAATTTTTACTAAAAGGTGGAAATCCAAACAACAAGAAAACAATATAGGTTAAATGCTTTGAACACGATGACAAAGCAAAAAAATGTGCTATGGCCACCTATTGACAAAATCTGCAATCACTTAGTTGCCAACCCTATATTTAGCATTTCTTAAATTTAATTTTAATGTAAAATTTCTATGTTAATTTTAAAATCCATATTGTGATGTTTTGCTAAACAATGTGTTCATTTAAATAAATGCAGGAAAACCTACAGGTGTTCCAATTAAGATTATCAAATGGTAAATCCAAGTTTGTCTTTTAATCAAGTGACAAAGCTGACGAAAGAAATTTTTATTCATTTTGCATTTCAGGTTTACCATTTGATAGTCTTAATTGGAGCACATGTATGTTTTTCTGTATTTATATGATAAAAACTAAATCACTATATAAATGTGTTCATTGTTTACATAAAGGATTACAACGTATCAGCTTATGCGACTAATCATTTAGCCATAAACGGATATATTGCTATCTACTTTGTGTGCAAGAGATTTTTTGACATGCACAACAAAATCAGTAATTATAAAAAATTGAATACAGTAAATTGCTCTATATTAATGGTGCTTGGAATGTGGGTTGCATCTGCTAAAAATTGCATAAGAAAATGGCACACGTACAGTTATTTCATCAGAGGTCATTTTGAGCGTATATTGTGATGTATTATTTTCAGATTTCTCACCCTTTTTTTTCTGTAAGCGCATTCTATTATTTGTGGATCATCCTGTAGTTGCAACAATTTACCACATTGTATGAAAAGATGACACTATATTTACATTTTATATTCACTTTTGTGTGCTTAGAGAAGAAATTAGATTCAAATTTAATTTATTACAATATAATATAGAGTTAAATTATAAGAAAGCATATAATTTAGTTAAATATACAGGGTGTTTATAATTAAAGTTCCACTTTGAAATGGCCATAAAATGAAAACTTCGTGTCTTATTTCATTTAACAATATTGCAGACAGCGCCATTTTCCATTGGTGGTGAGTTTTTGAACTTTTTTTTCATGGGAAATAAAATTCCGTGACGTCCTGTACACTATTACCAAGTTTGATAACATTCTGTCCAGTAGTTTTCATTTTATGGCCATTTCAAAGAGGAACTTTAATTATAAACACCCTGTACTATTAAAAGTTGATTTTGTATGATATATGGTCTGTAGCAGATTCATAAAAACCAAAAAGGGGGATCTAACTCAAAATTTGAAAATATTTGGTTAATTAATAAGAACTTTTTATTGTATTGGGGATAGTCCAATAAACCATATTTGCCACCATAGATATTTTTAAAACAATGTTTTGAAGTTCAAACAAGTACATTTTAATTTTTGGGGGATTAATGGGGAGAGCATAAGCCCTTGTAGTTCTTCCTTGGATCCAACTTCTGAATATGATTAATGAAAAAATGTAAAATTTAAAAAAATTAAGATCATAAAATACTAAATGGAATGTGTCTTAATGTATATTAAGACACATTCAGTATCAATACAAATATACAGGGTAGGGCATAATGGAGTCCCATGTTTACAAGGTGAATTTAAAAAAAAAAAAACAGTTCAAGCATATGGAAAAAACTTTTTATTTATTCAAAGTTCATGTAATAAGGTGTTTTTGGTTAGGTTTTAAAAATGACTGTCATCCAAATGTTGGCATTCACAGGTGAAGTACATTTGGAGCCGTTCATTGAAGTTTTCTTCAACTCTCACCAGCATATCTGGAGGAATTTTGGCGATTTTCTCATGAATGGCCTCCTTGAATTCTTGTAGGGTTTGAGGGCAATGTTTAAAAAACCTCTGCTTTGAGATACCCCCATAAGAAAAAGTCACGGGGCTTAAATCAGGAGCGGGGCATTCAATGGCTTCTGTAATGAGATTAGTCAACCAGGAAACATCTCTGTCAAAATGACATGAGAACAATGGGTCATATGGGCTGTGACTCCATCCTGTTGAAACCAAAAGCCACTTGTAGTGTATTCTTCCATTTTGGGACGCAAAAAATTCTCCAGAATTTCGCAGCATCAGTTGGAAGTCGCAGTATCAGTAACACCATCCTTTTCAAAAAAAGAAAAGGCTCCACAATACCTACAGAAGGCAAAGCACACTAAACAGTGACTTTTTGGCTGTGAAGAAGTCATTGGTGGTGTTCTCAGGAGTTTCCAGCAGTCCAATAATGAAAATTCTGCTTGTTCACTGTGCCAAAAAGATGAAAATGTGCCTTGTTGCTACTCCACACAATACTGCTGTAAGGATCACATTACAACAATCTCTATATCTTCCACAATCTACTAGACTCAATTCTTGAGCAATCATAATCTTGTAAGGGTCATAGTGCAAAATTCACCTTACTGTTTTAGCTGATATCTGGAGTGTAGAGGCATGTTTCTGAGCAGAACACATTGGAGACCATTCTATTGACACTCTGAGTGCAGCAATGTTTTCAGGTGTCCTCAAGGATTTGGGATGCCCAACTGGCTTTTTAGGATTTGTAGATCCTGTTGCCCTTAAATTTTGGACCCATTTCAAAATCGTTTTCTGATGCAATTAGGTTTAAATCCAAACAAAAGTGTTCCTACTTTTGTTTGGATTTAAACCTAATTGCATACGAAATGCCCTCTGCATCAGTCACAGACTCAGTGTTTTTGAAATTAGCCTCCACGGCAAACCCTGTTGTTTGCCCGACTACGGCATGTTGACTACTGAAAACCTTATTGTTCATGCCACCTAGTGGAACCAACCACCACCTATTGGATGACGTCATTTTTAAAACCTAATAAAAAAAAAAAAAACTTATTACATGTACTTTGAATAAATAAAAAAGTTTTCCATATTCTTTTATTTTTTTTTTAAATTCACCACATAAATGTGGGACTCCATTATGTCCTACCCTGTATTTAAAAGGAACATAAAATTCCTTCTACAAAGTCAGTAGAATTATAGTGAATTTTCTTACTTTCTTATCATTTCCCTGAAGTTCATCCCTAAGTTCTGACAGATTATCGTTATAAAATGTCCATTCATTTGTTGTAAAATACTGAAGAATGCTCATAGCTCTTAGCATTCTTTTGTATAACTCGACAAACCTAAAATAAAATCAATAATTTATAAAAAATTTGCAAAATATATTTTAAGTTTTAATATACTACTAATATGTCATTATAGAGTTACACAATGTCTTAGTTTTAATGATTACATAATTATTAATCATCCTAGAATGGTAAATAGTATATTTAACAGTACTGCATTGATATAGTTCTTTTTATTTAAATCAAGATTTAATATTAAGTTCCATTTGTCTAATTCAGTGTTTCCTCAACCCATATTCCATGGAACACAGGTGTTCAAACTTGCTCCTAGTGTTACACATACACAAAATTAAGTTTTCATTGCAAATATATTCCAATGTACTCCAACATATTACTTTATTCATAGACAATTCTATGTTTACTGTTCTATTTGAAACAATAAAGTTTATTTGCTTCATTGTTTTGCAAGAACAATAAACATGGAACTATTTATGGATCTTTAACTATATTGAGGCTAATGCTCTATGTAATGAAAGTATATGGATGGTGTTCCACAACCTCAAAAGGATCAGAACCACTGGTCTAATTAAATGAAAGAATATTCAAAAAATATGTTTTTATTCTGAATAACTTCTATACTATTTCTATTTTTAATACCTTGGCTTGTTACCAGTAAGTTTTGCTACTAAATCCAATATAACTGCGGGTAGGCCATGTTCGACTTTCAGGCATATCTGATTTACGAAACGATTTGACTTGAAGCTTCCTCCTGGATAACGATAGACTTCCATGCTTGGATACTTCAAAACTAATGGATAAATATGCCGCTCCAACATTCCCCAAGTGAATTTTATGTGATTGTCGGAAGTACAGTTGTACACCATTGTACTTCTTGACCTAAAAGAATTTGATTTTTATAAGCATTAAATATTTATAAATCATTTGCCTAAAGTAAATTCTTTTGAAATATTACATTAAATATTGATAATAAAATTACATATAATTAATTATGGATTATTTACACATTAATTTGAGTTAGAATAATGATAAATATTCAGTTTAATCTATACCAATAATTAAAACTATAAAATAATTATAAATATTTTCAGTTTTTTCCATGCAATTATAAAGTTATAGTGAAATTTTCTGTTTATAACAAAATAAATATAAAGTTAGATAAAAACAATATGCTATCTATCTATCTATCTATCTATCCAGTGGCATCCTCTCTACAGAGGGTTGCATTTGATGAACTATTCCTCTCCATGTTTCTCTATTCCAGGCTTCTCTTAAATCCTTTCCAGTCCAGTCTTTGATGTTATCTCTCCAAGTCTTTCGAGGTCTTCCTCTAGGTCTTGTCCCCTCCACCAGTCCCTCAATCACCGTCTTTAGTAGTTGTCCTCCTTATCCTCTAGCCAAATGTCCAGCATATCGTACCTTTCTTTGTTGGATATCTATAAGCAACCTTCTCCTCAAGCCCAGCCTGTCCAAAACTTCCTCATTTGTTATTTTCTCCGTCCAACTTATTCTTTGCATCTTTCTCAAGCACCACATTTCAAATGAGTTAATTCTTTCCATCATTTCATGCGTAAGAGTCCATGCCTCACATCCGTATGTTAGTACACTCCAGATCATTGTCCTTAGGATTTTTATTTTCAGTTTTATGTTAAGGCCTCTGTTTGTTAATATATGATAGATCTGATAAAAGGCAGCTTTTGCTTTATTAATTCTGCTTTTAATTTCCATTTTACATCTATTATCACTTGTTATCCAGCTTCCCAGGTATTCAAACTTTTTAACCCTTTCAAGTTCCTTATTTCCCAGAATGATCTGGAATTCCTCCATATCTTCCTTCTTTGAAACCTTCATTACTTTTGTCTTCTTTTCATTTATTTTCATATGGAATTTCTCCAATCCAGTTTTGAACAGTTGATTCAGAATTTTCTGTAATCCCTCTTTACTTTCACTCAGCAGGACTATGTCGTCAGCGTATCTTATGTTGTTTATTAAGCATCCATTGATTTTCACTCCTTCGTTAAAATCCTCAAGTGCTTCTCGCATCATCCACTCACTGTAAATATTAAACAACAGTGGCGAAAGTCCGCATCCCTGTCTCACTCCTTTTTCCACCCTTATCCAGTTGGATTCTTCCTCATCAATTTTTATTATTGCTTTCTGATTTTTGTATAAAAAGAGAATAATTTTAATTATCGCTTTATCTATTCCAATTTTTTGAAGTATTTCAAATAAAATTGTGTGATTAACATTGTCAAACGCCTTTTCATAGTCCACAAAGCACAGATAAAGATCTCTGTTTTTTCAATCATTTTTTCTCCAATAAGTCTAATTAATGTAATGGCCTCTCTAGTTCCTTTCTTCTTTCTAAAACCAAATTGTGTATCATTTAGTTCTGCTTCAATTTTCGGTTCTATTCTTCTATAGATAGTATTAGTTAAAACTTTTGAGATATGGCTTATTAAACTTATTATTCTATGTTTGTCGCATTCCAGTGTTCCTGCTATTTTGGGTATAGGTATAAATATTAAATTAGTAAAGTCTGTGAGTAGTTGTTGTTCTGCAAGAATTTTATTGAGAACATGACTTATAATCCTTCTTCCCTCAAAACCCATTGACTTAAGCAATTCCCCATGCAAGCCATCAATTCCAGGTGCTTTCCTATTCTTCAATTTTTTCAAGGCTGCCTCAACTTCATCCTCCAGAAATTTAGGGGTTTGATCATCGTCATATTCCTCTTCCAGTTTACATTCCATGTTATCCTCTGTTTTATAAAGTTTTGTCAAATATTCATTCCATCTTACTAATTGCCTTTCCTTCTGCATTAAAATTTCTCCATTCTCATCCTTTATTGCCCCAATTTTCACTCTTCTTTTCTTTCCTGAGATTAAATTAATGTTTTGATAGACCTTTCTCAGATCTTGAGACAATTCATGTTCTTCTAATTCATGACAGATTCTGTCTAGCCAATCTTCCTTAGCTTTTCTTGCCATACTTTTCACTTGTTTATCGATTGTTCTATATTTTTCTTTAGCATCTAATGTATTTGCGCTTTTCCATCTTCTCCTTTCATCCATTTTCTCCAACACTTCTTTCGTAATCCAAGGTCTTCTTGCTTTTCTTCTCTCCTCTCCCAAAACCTGGTAAGCACTTTCTTTAATTTCCCCTTTCATATTCTCCCAAAGTTCTTCCACATTTCCTTCCAAATTTAAATTTTGAAGTCTATAATTAGTCATACTCTCATATTTTTCCCTAATGTTGTTAATCTTCAAATCATCAATTCTCAGTCTTTTATCATTTCTATTTCTTTTTATGTGCTTCAATTTAACTCGGATCACGGAGAGCAAGAGGTTGTGGTCGCTGCCACAATCCGCCCCTGGATATGTTTTTATATTTGTAATTGTGTTCCTGTATCTATGATTAATCAAAATAAAATCTATTTGATTTCTAACTTCGATTCCCCTTGATCCTGGGGCTTTCCACGTATAAAGTCTTCTTTCGTGATGTTTGAACCATGTGTTCATCACAGTCAAGTCCTTTTCCCTACAGAAATCAATCAATCTTTCACCTCTATCATTACGTTCTCCAAGTCCCCAGGGGCCAATAACAATTCCTTCTCTTCCTCTTCCAACTTTTGCATTCATATCCCCCATTATTAGGAGAATATCTCTATTATCTTTTCCTTGAAGACATTGGTTTATTTGCTGATATACTTCCTCTACTTCTTCGTCTGTGTGATCTGTAGTAGGTAGGTATGTTTGGATAATCAACATATCTCTTGGTTTCATCTTGATCCTCAAGGCAATGACTCTATCCGATATTTGCCAATATCCGTCGATTTTAAATAATGCTAAAATCTCTTAAATATTTGCTGACCTACATTAACAAGTTATTTTTTTTATATTATCAAATAATGGCTTAATATGAATGAAAATCCTTAATTTTATATTCTTAAGTGAAGTAGAAATGGTATTGATGAAGGTATTCACATTATTATAGTAAAACCTTGTTTAGGGGATAAAAATAGTCCTGGCTTCAAGTCAGAGTTTAAAGTTATAAAGTTTAATGCCCAATCTTCTCAAAATTTTCTGTGGCTGTAAATTTCCTGTTATCAAGCCATTTCTCAGGAATCTGTTCACAGCACGATTACAAAATTTTAAGGTAGGAGAGCCCATTAAGCTGTCAATTAGACTAGGTGATAGCTTATCATTTCATGGAAAATAACTTGGAATTGGTTAAAGTAATAGTTCAAACTTGGTGTGACATAATAGGCTTCCCTACTTTATAAAATTAACAGTACTTTTGAGCATGGGCGTAGCCAGAGTTTTGTTATGGGGGGCCTAATAGAGGCCAACCTGACACAAAATTGAATTATTTCATTATTATTATTATATATATATATATATTTCATTGTTATTATTATTATATATTTATTATTATTTTTAGCGTTAAATTTTTCTTTTTTTTTGCAAATCGGCTCAACACTTTTTCGGCTGTGATTTTTCTGGGGGGGCACCAGGTTCACTGGAGGGGGCCGTGCCCACCCAGGCTCCCCCCTCGCTACGCCCATGCTTTTGAGGGCATTCTTAAGGTACCCACTTCTGTCCCAATCAGAATGCCAGTAACTTACTGTAGGCATAGTGTGTTCAACATACTGTGTTTATGTTAATCATCTGTACTCATACAGAATATGAGAGAAAACAAAGATCACAAATCAAAATGCAGAGGATACATGGGGAAATAGATCCAAGTTAAAAGTACGAATACTTTTGACTTAACAAGACTATATTGTATGAAAAACTCTTATGTTCTCTGCACAGGACTTGTAGACAGCTTCAAGTTAACACAGCTTGACATCTGTCTTATTTACATAATTTAATTTTTTTAAGAAGAAAAATTATAAGGCCTGAATTTTGTAAAGTTTGACAAAGGCCTGAATTCTAGGCCCTAAGTTGTGATCTCATAGGTGTCTCAGCAAGATGATTTATTCAAATATAATTAGAGTTATATTTATTAATTATATTAGTTGATAATATAATTATATAATATAATAATATATTATATTAGTTGATAATAGAATCTGCCTAATAAAGTCCACACACTGTTTCTAATATGCATTATAATAATAAAAAATATGACAGAACTGAAGTAATGGAGTCTTTTAAAGTGGGATTTTTAAAGCTTTTTGAAACCAAACTGCCTACATGCCAGATTAATCATTTGAATATCAGTAGTTCTCAAAAAAGTATTTATCATTTAGCAGGGTTATTCACAAGTAAAACTACAATCAAAGTAACATGGTAAAAATGTTTAATTTGTGTACAGTTTCTCAAACTATTGTGACAACATGCTTACCTAATTCAGATTAGATAGAAGAGCTAATGAAAAGTGTGTTGTTCTTAAACAGTAAAATTGCTTGCTTAAGATGTAGAATATAACTAAGTAACAGTCTATTATGTACTACAGTACTTCCTGCTATATTTCCAAGTACTACCATAGGTTTGTGTATTGCATTGAAAACCAGGAAGCTTTATGACCACAAGTTGTAAAATGATGTGACTGTAAAACATAGATGTGCTTTAAAGAATGTTATAAAGGTTGTGTCAGGAAAAGGTGTATGACATTCCCTATTTTTTGGTATGAGCAGAGAAGCAGATGAGATCATCATTTCTGGGCCAATTCCAACTGTACTTCAGTTAATCATTGTAAAGCTAGCTGGATAAACATCAGACCTGGCTGGATCTTGACAGGCAGAAACAAGCTGCCACAGAGATTAAATCCTGGTTTATTTGCTCAGTAGTCCAGTGCCATACCACTAGAGCATTGTAAACCCTGAAAGATTTCTGACCTACTGTGTTCTGAGCACTCCTGTCATTTACAGATACATTATTGGTAGCTGTAGTAGCAGTATTTTTACTGTTTGTAACAGTTTACATCTATAAACATTAATTTAAAATTAGATATTAATTTCAGTACCAATAAGCTGTAAACAAAGAATTGTCAAGAATACTTAATGCCAATAACTAACAATATATGATCTACAATCATTTTGTTCCCTGTTTCTCACAACAGAACCAAGAAAATAATCAAATGGTATGAATTAAAAATATACAGAAAAATTAATTAACTTAACTTAACAAAATTAGAATACTGAAAGAAGCTTTAAAAAAATATGGTGATTTTGCAAACTACTGTGTAGTCTAATTTGAAATCGCATAACCATAACATCAACAACTCACTTCTTTGTTCCCGTCCGCCAGGACACCGTGATCATTGCATTAGACACTATGTCAACTGGCACGATATCCACCGTGGTATCACGATAAACCAGCATCGTCCTTAAAAATCCTTTTCCTGTCTAAAGCATACAAATATTAAATGTATATGCAACAGTTGTTAAATAATTATCTATAATGAATAATTTTTAAATTATATATTCAATACTTACAGCAACAATAAAAGCAGAAGGTCCATTAAGATTGTCTATCCAACCCTAGTAAATAATCATTTATTTACTTATTTTTATAATAACGTATTTGTATTATAAAAATTAAAATGTTGATAATGCAATAAAGTATTGTTTAATATAATATTTAATTTTTATAACAGTTTACAGGACTTATTTAGCCAAATAACTTTCAAATAATAAAGGTTTTATTTATATTACAATATACTTTACATCAATTTGATTTTAATTTAATTTAAGAGAAGATTTATGCCATTCTGTAATAGGTACAATAAGAAGCAATGCATTTCTCAAAATAAATATACAACTAATGTCCCAGCAGAGATGGAAGAGTACAAATTGAAACATTAAATTATTTGGCTTTAACAGTAGATTATCACTAAGATGTAAGTAGAATACAAGCAACATAAATGAAAAACAAAACTAGAAGAGGATACAGAATAAAGTACAATTTAAGAGTTACCAGTTTAATGTGTACAACTTTGGAATGATTTGGAAAGAATAATAAAAAGATGATTTGGAAAAAAAAACAGAGGACAGTAGAACAAGGGTAGTAGGCAGAAAGAGATGAAGAGGTCAAATTGGAAAAAAGGCTGGAAAGGGTGGAAGGCTTTGAATAAGTAAACTCAGCAAAGTGTTGGAGGAAGAAGATAGCAACAATGATTACTTTGAATAGAGTTTCATATTTCTGACAATAGGATTGTAATTTGCTAGATAGAAAACTGAAGTGTATATAATGTGCGCTTCAATTTCCTGTCTAACAAATTGATCATATCCATGTTGTTATGAAATTTTATTCAAAGATGCATTATTTTTATCACAACAAGAAGTTGCATAATTAAAAAATGAACAATGAAAAATTTGTAGTGAGAAACAATTTAGATTAGAACCATCAGATAGCCCGATTTTCTTGAAAGGGTCAAAAACAGGGACACACCTTGTTTCTAAATTTTTTTTATTTTGAATGATCCAAATATAAAAAGTTTACATAACAATTTCATTTGCAACAGAGAAAAATCTCATCATAAATCTTCCTTAAGGAAGAAGTTTTTCAATCTGTAAAGTGAAGAAATTAAAATCTCTGTATTATAACTGCAGGTAGTTACACACTGTACATACATCTACCTATGTTTAACACATGTTTACATTACTTTTTATGCTATTTTCATTTCTTGTTTTAGACAAATCTCCCTCTCTATACATTGATTGGAGTCATACTACATTAACAAGGAAAGACACTGTTTTTAATTTATTAAAAACAGTGTCTTTATTAATGTAATCATAATTATAATTACACATTTTAATTACCAGTATTTATATTCATCCACTTATCAGTTAGTAATATTTAATGATCTGCAATCATGGATTTTATAACATTTTGTATTTTGAATTTAAATTAATAATATACACTACTATACTTAACAAATTCTTTTTCAAAGGTATTTTTATTGATAAAATATATTAATATACATTTACAAAAAATCTATACATAAAGGAAATTTGGGTTTTAATTACAAACATTAACACAAATATCTTATGGTAAAGCCCTGCCAATTTTAGTTGTCTACATTCTAATAACAACAATACTTACAGGAATTGGCTCTTGCCACGTTGCTGAAACGATAGAAGGTCGAACAATTGCTATGGGTAGATTTTCTCCTTGTTCTAGTAAAAGGTTTTCTGCCAGAGCTTTAGTGTAATGATATGTTGTTGGTCTACCATTCAGTAATTTCGGCACTATACAATCTAATAAATCTTCATCCATCCATCTGAATAAATGTAAAATACATTAAACATAATTGCATTCAAATAGAACTGTTCAGAAACAAAGTCAAATTAGTCCATCTCGTGATTCACATAAACCCATTCAAATTGCTCATGTTTTTTGAATTTATGGATCGATTCATACATCTCCCTACAAGGTTTCATTAGCCAATAATAGGCACAATAAATGTCTTTTTAAAGCAAAGCACTCCCAACAATCCATTAGAAAGCTGGAGTCGACCATCTTCGAGAGTCATGGCTTTCAATAGATTTAATGTAAAGGATAACCTTGCCAAAGTGATGGGGCCATGCAACATTTGAGACTAGTGTAACAGTCCAGGCACCAAGTAAGGTTATCGTCACAAAGGGCATGCAGATTGGCGTAGTTAATGTGACACACCTATACCAAAATTATGATTCTGATGACTCAGAACTACAAAGAGTTTTGGATATATTTGAAGTATTTAATACTGGCTGTTACAAAGCAGGAAAGGCTAAGATATGCATGTTACAGCTGATTGTACACTGGTCGATTGTAACAGTTCACTGCATCCTATTTTAACAAAAATTCCGTAAATAAAAAATTAGTTTCACGTGGAAATTTTGAAATGCAGGAAACTGGAAAGTTAAATGTGTGTCTCGTTTTATTTCGTGTGTTGGTGCTTACAAAAATCATTTACAATTGCTCTCAGTCTCTCCTACTATACACGAGAATTGCCAAATTCAATATAAGCGAATTTATCCGTTATGTTTTGTTCTGCATCTCTAAATTGCTTTCAATTTAGATCTCAGATTGAATACAGTACACAAAATCGATAAGCATATACACTATTCTTTATAAGAAACTAGAAACACACAATGCAACACAAATTGAAACACGATTACAATAGCAAGACTTGGAAATAGAGAGAGAATAGAGAACTGGCCTGTATTAAAAATTCAATTGACGTTTTAAAGGATACTTACTGAGAAGCTTCGATGACTTGTTGAGCAGTTAATTGCTCTGAGTAAACAATTTCGTCGATTTCTTTGCGATTACAAAAGCTATAGGCCGTCGAAACGTGTATTAATGCCTGATAATGTAAATATATACTATTAATGTAATTGTTTCAACACTCATTTATTATGTATCCAGTTTGTGAGCTCTAGGCATATGTTAATGAGACTGATGGGATAAGGCAAAGGAGGAGGATTTTCGGTGGAAAACTGGTTCCTATTTAGGTGTTACACACTAAGAAAACACAGAGCCAGTACATTTATCAAGTATAACAACAGTTAATTTAGATTTCCATTAATTAGTTCCTATTATAAGGTGTGAAATATTGATTTTACAAAATACATCAGTTCATACACATTTGCCTATGTCTCTTGTATGATAATATTACATTATATAATGGTTTAATTTATGTAATTATTTAAATAAGTTTTAAATATTTTCAGAGTTACTTTCTATCCATAAAGTATATTTTTATGGCAACTACATACCTTCAACTCCTTCATGTTTTTACAAATTTCCATTACTTTTTTCGTTCCTATTATATTAATATTAACAGCTCGTCTGAAAAAAAATAATATTTATATAATAAAATATATTTT